TGGCCCTAGTAGCTTGTTGACGGAAGTAGCTTTTAGTGGCTGTCGGGACAGGCGGCCTTTATGAAAATGGCTGATGTTATCTTCTCGGCATTCTGGAACATTGTAAATAAAACTTGACGTTAGTCGATATTTTGGTCATAGTCACAAAACTGAGCACGGGAAATGGCGGAACAAGTCGAAGTTGATTATTATGAAAAAATGGAAGTTGACGTTAATGATTCTTGTAAGCCAAACATATTTTGTGAAAGCGCAGAAAACACAAGGGCAGTTGAAATCTGCAGGGACGGAAACAATGTTTCAAACACAGGACTGCACAGTGCATGCGAGGGAACTAGTATTTATAGTGTTACAGGTTCATTAGATTTCACGCCTCTCGACAGTAATGCACACGAATCTGTACATGTCAGCAAGGATAGTGAAGTATATAACAAAATGAATGGTGTACAGTTTTGTGACCAAAGTGATTTGAGTTCAGTAAACAGTTTATTAAACGAAGAAAATAGTTCTTGTGCTACAAACACACAACAAATGACTGCACCAGGAATTAATCAGAAGGTAGGTCTTCTTATATATAATATAACGTAAAGTAACGTTTTCTTTCATGTTACCATGATAAATAAACCGTATTGAGAATAAAAACCATTATACTTTACCAATGCTTTGTACTTTGTTGTTAACTGTAATCAATAATAATAATAATGTGTGATCATTCGTGACGTGACGTGCATATGATATGATGATGAGTATGTTTTTATTTACATTTTGAGTTTTGACAGTTCATTGAAATCTACAATCCATCCTTGCTTGGTATTTCATTTCAAATTTTGGTATTTGAAATACCAGCAGACTGGAGAAAAGGATATCAGATATCATATCTTGTGAAACTGCCCCCCCCCCCCCCCCTTTCCCCAAAAGTGATCTACAGGAGAGTGTGATGAGAACTTATGGTGCCAACAATCCCTGGAAAAATATTAAGTATAATTATTTTGGAAAGATGCTATGCTATTGATAAAAAGCTAAGAGATTAACAGGTAGCCACATTACCTATAATAATAGAGCAAAGCATTGAACTGAACTCACCACTTTACATTGGATTCATAGACTCAGTCTCTCTGGAAATTGATGGTGCACTATGGAATCCCACAGAAAATAATTATCTTAGTAAAGGCTACATATAAAGACATGAAATGTTGGGTTAAATGGAAAAGCTAACAGATACATTTGAAACAAAAACAGGTGTGCGACAGGGATGTCTTTTGTCACCTCTTCTATTTTTACTGGCTATAGACTGGATTATGACAACAACTGCTAACACCAAGAATGGAACTCAGTGGACCCCTATAAAACAGCTTGATGATCAAGACTTCGCTGATGATATTTCTCGCTGTCCCATTCACAGAAGAATCAGATGCAGGATAAATATACTTGATGCAAGATCACAGCAGCTAGGTCTGAAAATCCATAAAGGAAAGACAAAGATAATGAGAATAAATCAGGCAAATAGTAATTTGGTTTCTGTTAATGGCACCCCACTGCAAGACGTTGAGTCGTACACCTATTTGGGCAGTAATGTAGATAAAGATGGGGAAACTGATAAAGAGTACAAAAGGCAAGAGGAGTTTTCATAGCAATAGTGAATTTGTGGAGGTCAGAAAAAATTAAAAGAAATACTAAACTTAAAACTCTTAGTCAAATCAGTGCTTTTGTATGGAGCGAAAACATGGAGAACAACTGATACAATTACTCATAAACTACACATTCATTAACTGGTGCCTGTGCAGAATAGAGGGAATTAAATGGTATGATAGAATCTTCTTCTTCACTTCCTCTTTTACCTTCTGTGGGTGTCGAGGGAGATATAAGGTTCTGTTTCTAGCTCTTCTGGCCGCCTCGACCATAGGCACATCGTGCTGTTGTAGAGTTTCTCTGATATCCTTCCATCTTGTTCTTGGTCTACCTCCTGCTCTACGTCCTTCTTCTCTTTCCATGTATACTTTGTATGGTATGGTATCATAAGGCATTCTCTCTAAGTGGGCAAACCATTTCGCTTGCTGTCTTTGTATGTAATTTAGAATTTGTTCTGTGCCGACTTTTTCTCTAATGATCTAATTCCTGATCTTATCTCTTATGGTCACTCCTACAGCCCTTCTCAGACATCTCATTTCCATGGTTGCTAATTTTCTTTTATGGTTTGTTGTGAGTGACCATGTCTGGCACTGGTAGCACAGAGTTGGAATAAATATGCTTTGAATAAGATGTCTCTTTGTGCTGATTGGGATTGTCTTATGCTGTAAGAGGGGGGGGGGGGGCTAGCTGTCCCAATACTTGGTTTGCTTTACTGCATCTAATGTTAATTTCTTTATCTAATTTCCCATCTTCGGTAAATGTAGTTCCCAGATATTTAAACTAGATGCCTCTTTAATGCCTTTGCACTCCATTGCTATGTTTAGATCTGTCTTCTTTTTTCCTATTGACATTGCTTCTGTCTTTTCAGTGTTGATTCTCATATTATTTGTTTTACATTCTTCATTCATGGATGTTAGATGTTGTTGCAATTTCATGGCTGTATCTGCTATCAAGGCCTGGTCATCTGCAAAGAGTAATTCGTTGATCTTACTAACACTTTCATTCATGGGCTTAGCATTCTTGCATATACTGTCGATGTAGGTGATAAACAGCAGTGGTGATAATACACACCCCTGTCTTACTTCAGATGTTACTGTGAATGGATGTGATGTTCCCTGATTTATTCTAACTACACTTCTACAATATCGTATAAACTTTTGCACACTTCGATGAGGTGTTCGCTTACTCCATATCTTGCCGTTACTTACCATAATAATTGTCTGTCGACTCTGTCAAATGCCTTCTCCTGGTCTACGAATGCCACAAATAAGTTCTTATTGTATTCAATATTATTTTTTATTAACTGTTTAAGTGTGAAGATTGCATCTGTGCAGCTTCTATTTCTCCTAAATCCCATCTGTTTTCTGCCAGCTGTGGTTTTGTCACTGTTCTGTGTCTTGTTTCTATTATCTTTGCATACATTTTGCCAACATGGCTTAAAAGAAAGATGCCTCGGTATTGACCGCATTCTCATTTGCTTCCTTTGTTCTTCCACAATGGTATAACTATTGCATGTTGCCAATCAATAGGGGCAGTTTGTTGTACCCATGCTGCATTAAATATTTTGTGAAGCCATCTGATGCTGCTTTTACCTGCTGTTTGAATTATTTCTGTTGGTAATCTTCTAGAATAACTTTCAATAACTAATATAGAGCTATGGGAGATAACTAAGCAAGCTCCAGTAGACCAAGAGCGGAAGAAAAGACGCTGGCGTTGGATAGGACACACATTGAGAAAACCGGAGAACAATGAAGAAGGAAGCTGGAGAATAAAGTTAGAAAGATGGGGAGAGCTGCATGCAATAGCAAAGGATAGAATGACTTGGCGTGAGTTGGTTGAGGGTCTATGCTCCATTGGGGGCTAGAAAGGCAAAAGAAGAAGAATTAATTTTGAAATGAACAGTTCATAATTTTCTGGAAAAGTGACTGACCATATACAGTAATGGTTATTATAATGCTAATGCCTAAATGGACAATTGTCTTGATAGTGAATATATGCAGACTCACTTGCTCAGCAGTTGCTGCAGACTGTGGCTCACAGTGCTCACCAACTGTGCATAGTGGTATTCTTATTCTTATATTAGAAACCTTTTGGTTTGTTTCAGATGGTCACATTTACTCCAGCTCTTTTATAAATGTGATGTTGGCTGATACTTTATTGCCCAGCTATTTATGCTTTTCAAATCCATCTTCCTTTCTCTTCATCTATCTGTTATTTCCTTTCCTGCTTAAGGCTAACTTCTCTCCCCCCCCCCCCCCCCCCAGGTCTCTTTATAAGCAGCAACCCAAAAACATGTGTAGCCTCTGAAGTCTGTTAACTTGGTCACTACTATACATATACAACTCACCATACATTGGCTACTAAATGTATTGAATTTATTTTTTAATTTCTTCTACCACTCATGATTTACTTTCATCCCATACCCGCTGTTACTCTAACTTCCTCTAAGACTTCTGCCATGCAGTTTTTATTTCAGCTTAACAAGACCCAACCAAACTCTCAACCAACGGGATCTCAGAGTTAAGGGGGCCCAAGAAATGAAGTGTCCAGAATTCATAAAGTGGCAAGGTTCTCGTACTCATGAACCCACCCTCAACCATTGGTGATGATTCCAATGAAAATGGTTTCTTAACTCTGCTGACTGATTTCTACAAAATGAAAATTTTCAGCTTAAATGCCCTGATATCCAGAAATCTATTAGAAAACACTTTAGTTAAAATGTCTGTCATGTAAAAATCCTATTAAATGACAAAAATATGTTTGCATGTCTGCTCCCAAAGGCCGTACACATCATTATCAAGCTAATCTGATATGCTAAAAAACCAGTTCATATTGTATGGAGGTCTTCAGCGTTTTCTGCTGTTTTCTGCCATCCTTTAAAGCGTGTGATAAGTGGGAGACTCACTGTGTGAAAGTAAGTTTAATCAGTGAGCCCATTACCAGAATACCAATACCAACTCTGTAATTATTCTTGAATGGTAGAAAGTACACATATTTTGCTTCTACCCTCCCTTAAGGGTTGACCAGTGTGCTTATGGTTGTCTTAGACCAGTAGTGGTTCTCAACTTGTAAACAGGCATCGCAAAATGTTGCCCAAAACAAAAATCAGATGAAAGAAAAAAAATAAAGTATCAGGCTCCACTCCCCGCCTCCAACCCCTTTCCTTTATCTCAGTTAGGCATATTCTAGGTTTAATTGTTTTTTCAATGCTTTGTACAAGTACCATGATGCCCTTGCTTTCCTAGAGTTGGCCACTGAATTTCTGTATACCGTCTGGTTTCTGTGGTTGCATTTTGAGGAGAAAATAAAAACACTTTCACTTAGTGACATCATTGTAATAATTAGAATTTTTTCATATTGATATTCTCTTCTAGCCTCCAAGCGCTGATGATTTTGTTCTGCTCAAGCCTATTAGCAAAGGAGCATTTGGGTATGTTGTCATTTTATCGCATGATTTACGTGTGATTTTATTGAGTAACTAACATGTACATGCCTATTAAAAATGCCCAATTAAAAGAAATGAATTAATCTACCCATATTTTTAGACTTTTCCATATCTCAATACCCCATTGTTTGTGATCTTGTCTTGCCACTTAATGCCAAAATGTTGTCCTATAGTGTTATTATTTCAACCTGTTCAGACCCACTTGTCTTACTTTAAGTAAAAATGTATAGGATGTGTTAAAGCAATGCCTGCCTAGGACTCTTCATCAATTTCCACTTTTGCAATTAAGCATCACTTCTTCTTAAAGTCCATGCAGTGTGGTGTGGGTAGTCATGACTATCCACAATGTTCTATCTGGTGTACTTTCAATCAACTTTGACACAGATAATTCTCCAGGCCATGATGTCAAACTGTCCAGCATCTCTTCTTTTAGTCTCCCTCTGCCTCTCCCCCGTCCAGCTTTCTAACTGTCACGATTTACTACAGTTTTCTCCTTCTCACCACACACCAAAGAATGTAGATTGTCATTTTCTGATGTTAGCAATCAGTTCTCTTCGTGTGTCAGTTTCTTTCAAGACTTCATTGCTCATTTTGTCTGTCTGGGATATCCTCATCATTCATCTATAAAACCACATCTTTGAAGCTTGCAAATAAGATTTCATTAATATACGTGTTTCACTTCCGTATGTCAAGATGATATCTTTTTAGCTTTTAAGAATTGTCTTTCTCTTCTCAATTGACAAAGAGAGATCATGACAGGAAAGACTAATTTGCAATCTATTGCTCGATGCATAGTTTTGGTTATTGTCATTTGTCATACCGTATGGATGTAGAATGTCTTAAATATCACAAGTCCGTCTTCTCCTTGGGCGCCTTCTTGCTTTCATGTAAGATCTTTTTGTTTTTTAATTTTTAAGGTAGTTGTTGTAGCTACATTCTGATGAGATGACTGAGCATGTGATCGCCTGCTTCTCAATAAATTGGATACAGAGTGTTGATTTCACAATCTATCTGACAGTATTTTTTTTCATTTAGTCTCAGAAGCCTAACTAGGACTGAAAGAGTTGAAGGCTTCAAGGATTTGATTTTCTCTCATTTTTTATTGTACTGTTTGTTAGTTAGTTAGTTGTGGATCTTTTACAGGACATTGCAGAACAAACCCCAGCATTTTTTTAGCTGTTGTGGTTTTTCTAGGCGAATTTACATCCAGTAGTTTGCCATTGCTTTCTGGATAGTCGGCTTCTCGAAACCAGTTCAGGGCCCGGAGCTGAGATCGAACCTGGTATTACGAAGCTTGTTCGCAACGCCTAAGCCACAGATGCCGACGGTGTTATATGATAATGTTATTTTTGTATGACTGTTCTCTGTCAGACGAGCAACATTCGATGGAACTTCTTCTTAGCGTTCAGTGACTGTAAACTTGCTTGAGCAGAAAAGTCTTGTTCATCTACTTCTTTTTTCCAGAACTTGAGATTTGTGTGTGCATCTGTTTCACAGATCTGGCTTATTTGTTTGTAGACTGTTAGTTCCTTGCGTCTCAGGCATATGCAGTCTGAATTGTCTTGTACGACATGCTTGTTAGAGGGGTAGTATTTTTGCTGTCCATGGAAGTAAGAAACTATTTTCAGATGTTATGTACTGCATCTTCTACTACCTATTTGACTGTGAATCAATGGTAGTGGAAACAGAAAATAGAAAGAAACTGAAGCCCACAGAGATGTAGTTTCAGCATAGAACTACGAGAGATCATTCACAGAAATATTCATTTACCTATATTAGGTCAAGACAATCATATTTTTGTGTTTGGTCACAATATGAGGTGAGAAGATCTTGACAAGGCTGTGAGAAATGAGAAGATCAAGATTTCGTGGTTGGCAAATATAAGAATAGAGGGTCTTGATGAGGTTGTGAGAACTGAAAAGATTGAGTGTTACTGATAAAGTTAGAAGATTGGCACTGTCAGTGGTTGACAGTTATGTGATGAGAAGGTCTTGAGAAGATTAAGAGTGTTAGTGTTTGAGTTATGAGAAGAGAAGATCTTGACAAGTTTGTAAGAACTGAAAAGATTGAGAGTATCAGTGGTTGAGATGAGAAAAAAGGATCTTAACAAGGTTGTGACAACTGAGATTGAGAGTTAATGATGACAGTTATTAGATAAGAGGGTCTTGACAAGGTTGTGAGAACAGAGAAGATTGAGAGTTAATGATGACAGTTATGAGATGAGAGGGTCTTGACAAGGTTGTGAGAACAGAGAAGATTGAGAGGTAATGATGACAGTTATGAGATGAGAGGGTCTTGACAAGGTTGTGAGAACAGAGAAGATTGAGAGTTAATGATGACAGTTATGAGATGAGAGGGTCTTGACAAGATTGTGAGAACAGAGAAGATTAAATGTGTTAGGGGTTGAGTTGAGAGAAGAGCAGGTCTTGACAAGGTTGTGAGAACAGACACGATTGAAAGTGTTAGGGGTTGAGTTGAGAGAAGAGCAGGTCTTGACAAGGTTGTGAGAACAGACAAGATTGAGAGTGTTAGGGGTTGAGTTGAGAGAAGAGCAGGTCTTGACAAGGTTGTGAGAACAGAGAGGATTGAGAGTGTTAGGGGTTGAGTTACGTGAAGAGGGGGTTCGTGACAATATTGTGAGAACTGAGAAGATTGGCGGCACTTTGAAATGTTTCCCTGTGTCAAACATTTTACCAGGCTCTGAAACTTCTGAAAGGAAAGCTCAGCTGCCTTTAACTCAGCCTGTCTCATTTTAATTTCAGCATCATTGTCTGCTTCCATCTCTTTAGCCTTCAACTCAGTTGTCAATCTTTCTTTCTGTATTTCTTTGTTGCTGATCAATTCCTTATCTTTGAGGATCATAGCATAAGCTTACTCTTTTTCTTTGATCAGCATCTGCACTTGATCTTTCTCTCTCTCTGCTTGGGCCACTAATTCTTTGCCTTTGAAGGCATCTTCTTTCTTTTTCACAACCGTTTGTGACACTAACTGTCCTGCCAATTCTCATTCTGTATGACCTGCCTACTTATATTTTAAAGTGTATATTTCATTTAGGAAAGTGTGGTTGGGGTTCAAAAAGACAGACCCAAACAGAATGTATGCAATCAAGGTGATGAAGAAAGCTGACCTTATCAACAAGAATCTAATGGCTCAAGGTGTGTGCTTTTGTTGTTTTCTGGTAATTGTTTTGCTGATTAATTTGTCTTCAGAAGGTATGCAGAGAGGACCTCATTTGTATATTTGGTTATTATAATTTTTTTTTTAAAGATCTCATCTTCATGTTTATGGGCTGAAATCTCCCGCAGAAAGTTCTGGTTGTTTGCCCACTTCTGGATTATATTATAGTCTTAATCCAGATTTTGTTTGTGCATATGTTTTACAGATCTGGCTTACTTGTACGCCTGTCAAATAGATGTACTCCTAATTAATCACCTTTTTTTTTGCACAGTGGGTTCTCTCCCCCCCCCTCCCCCCACCATAGAGAGTAAAAAAGTGAAAGTAAAGGTCCCTTTAAAACGCCTTTAGGAGTATTGGGAATATAGGGTTAGACCTATATTTTTATAGATCAATTTGCACTTGGTGGGTGATGTGGTCAGCGTCACGGCGGCCGCCTTTACTTCTCAGGGCTGCACCTAGAACCCACTCAAGGCTGAGCAACCTGGGAGTCAAGGTCATTTCTGAAAGAAAAAAAGTCAGGCTCTGTTAGCACGCGAACTCAAGGCCTTCCGATCCACAGGTGGGCATCTAGCCACCAATACCATGACGACTCCCCCCACAGAGTAGCTAATATTATTATCTATTTCTTTTTTCTCATTATACAATTTATTAGTGTTATATTGTGTTATAGATAGTTATGGGAGTCACAGCCCATGTTGCTGGCGAGTGGCTAAAGCAAGACCTGCTCATGTTAAGAAAAGTATTTCAGAATAAGCCCATGTAATTTGAGGACCATCGATGCTGTCGCATATATTTCATGTGTTTCCCCCTGAAACTTTCAGCTCTTAACTTGTCTGTGATTATTATCTCTTTTGTATTATCTCTTCCTGATCATCCCCCTCCGTGCAACAGGATCACAATTTCTTCTACAGTGCGACTCTGTACTGCTATCAGAAAGCCATTGGAGTGGTCCTTTTATTATCTTTGATATTGGAATCCTTGTGCATCAATGATTGTGAAATCCACTCTCTAGCCTATAATTTGCAGGGACACATTTTGTGTTTACAGTATGATAAGGTTGATCAACTTCATTGCACCTGATTTCATCCCATATGGCTCAGTCTTTCTCCACAAAATGGCTAGACACCTGCCAAGAGAGTCGCAGAAAGTAACAAACTCCATAGCTCTGGCAACAGTTCCCAGAAATCTCCATAAACATTTTCCTCATGAATCGAACTGTGCAGCTGTAAAATAAACCCACGACTTTCAGACTAACTCCTACATAAAATTACATAGTATGATAAATATTCAGTATGCCTCAAGATATAGTAGCATACTTTTATATGATAGCCTGTGAAAGATAAAAGTAGTTCCTTCGCTGTTACTCCCGCTGAGATATAAAGTGTTAGGCGTTCACATATTCGAGCCTGCAACCTACAGGGTCAGATGGTCATTTTCTTTCATCATATTACCTTCGCAGACAGTAATAGGCTATACTGAATGGAGACAAATAGACTGCTTTAGAAAGCCAAGCTCCCCATGTGGATTCCTGGGCCCCATTGTTGGGAAACCAAGAACAGACCCACCGCCCGCCCAAAAGCATGTTGCAAGAGTCGACTAAATGGGAACTTTCTTTGAAGTCCGAGTACATCTGTCTGAGAGACAAGGAACCGACAGTCTGCATGCAAATGAGTCAGATATGCGAAACAGATGTGCACGCAACGCTAACTTTTTGGAACAGGAAGTGGACGAACAACCAAAACTTTCTTCCGGAGTTTACAGCCGGTGAACGCGAAAAAGAAGAAAGCCAAGTCAGAAAGACGCACACACAAAAAACTATCCATTGTGAGTTTTACAGAAAACTATCTGTTTGGAAGTCCAGGTCAGTTTTAAAAAAAACCGTGATGACTACAGTGTCCGCAGGCAAATATGCTAGCTACTCTAGTAACATGACTCCCTAAAGTAGGGCTATATATATATTTAAGTTTACTGTGGAACCAAAATGTTGAAAACTGATCTTCACGGGTCAATGACCATAACTGCAGCAGGGAAAAATAATTAGTGGTTTACAATTCACAATGATCTGCAGACCACTTGCTAGCCAGTTTCATTCTGCAGGCCACAAGTTGAATAACCCTGCCTTAGAGCACTGTCATCATCATCTAGCCAATCCATTATTGATGTCATTGTCATCATATTTAAATAATTTGTAGTAGAGAACTTGGTAACAGCTAGCAAGATTGTTTGAGAGAGCAAGAAGAAGGCAAAGAGATTAATATCTGAGTGACTTGGTCAGATTGATAGGGCAAAACCAAATCATTGACCTGATTCATAATTCTGGTGATTGTTTGAGGTGGCAAAAACTGACACAGCACATGATGATAGTACAGTATTTACATAAAGCACAGTAGAAAAAAGACACTTGGTGTCATCAACTGGAAAGAGAAGGCCAACCAGGGAGATGGGTGATATTTGCAGCAGTGAACTTCAAGGGCTCGGAATGCTGAAGAAGAAGATTATTATCATCATCGTATAGGAGGTCCTGTGCAGGACGTCGCTCCTGTGGCCATCTTCTTGTTGGTTGGCCCCTGCCCCTCCTTCCTGGTACCATGCCTTCTGCTATTGAAGAAGAAGATAATAGCAAATAATAATCTTGTGTGAGCTAAATGGGATATTATGTATTCAACCATTACAGTGACCGCAGAAAGGGATGCACAGGCCAGATCACAAAGTGCTTTTATAGTGCAGCTGTACTATTCCTTGCAGTCTCAGCAGAACATCTTTCTGGTGAGGTTTTTATGTGATAGTGACAGTTTAATGTCTGAACAGTTCATTGATTTCTGTTTGTGGAATGTGTGAGTCCTCGGTGTGTGTCTTAAATCACATCAAGGTATAAGTTAGTGGTGGCTGTTTATTTGGGCTTTCTTCTTCAGCTTTTCTTTTCTTTTCTTCCGCTCCTTGGGGGGGGGGGGGGTGTTATCTTTCATTGGAGTATAATCCTTAACAATACACATACACAGCTCTCAACATGCTTTTTTTTTTTTAAATGGTTGGATTTTGGAATTAGTTCTCCATGCCAACCAACCTAGTCACCTCTTACACTATGCATGGGAGGTTACAATGCCACTATTTTTTACACATTGTGAGTCCTGGTAACACAGGTGTTTTCAGACTGGTACACGTTAATATTACATTGCCTGTCCAAGTGTATGTGTGTATGAATTAATTAATAGTAGGTTGTCATCATCATCATACATGATCTAGGCATTGAGAACTGGTTCATAAAAAGCATTGTGTCCCAAAAGCTGAGGTATTTTGACCATGTTAAAGGTTATGGTGGCCTGGAAAGAATGATGATGATAAAGAATATAGTTTCTGGAGAATGAGGCAGAAGTAGACCTTCATGTAGCATATTGAAGATATGTTAAATTTAAAAACACATAAGACTAGAGAGTTGGTTAGAGAAAAGAGACTTTCAGGTGTGCCATATCGAGAATACCATTCTGTGAAAAACCTTCTAAATGTTGTATGTTGTTTGTATGAATAATATACAATGACTATTCAAATGTAACTAATGCAGACACAAATACATTGCACAGTTTATTGTCTGGCATATTTCAGTGTATCTTGTCAGGTGCATTACTGCAGAGTGAAGCACAAAAACTACATTAATTACACTGAAATATACATAACATGGTCTCTCCTCTAACATTGGTTGTCTAATTGCTAGCACTTCACTATAGTAACATGTTGATGTAACACTGTGGTAACGCACCTGACGAGATACTGTGAAATATTCCTAGTAATAATTTGTGCAATGAATTGTTTGTGTCCACAATGTTTAAATTCACTATGGGAAAACACTGTTTTGAATATTACATCTTCTAACATCATTGACAGATTAGGTAGTTAGTAAAGTAAAATACCCTTTTCCACGGCACTATTCGTATTGGGCATTTAGGTCTAGACCTATATTTTGTAGACCTATTGGCACTTGGTATGTGATGAGGTTAACATTACGATGGCCAGCTTCAATTCCCAGGAATTTACCTCATACCCATTGTAGTATGGGTTGACCTAGAAGTCAAGGTTTTGTTTGAAAAAAAATCTGGCTTGATGCAGATTTGAACCTACAACCTTTGGGCCTGAGGTGAGCATCTAGCTGCTACATCACAGCGACTCCCTATATGGTGATAGACCCACATTTTATTGACCAATTTTGCGCTTGCTGGAGGATGTGGTCAGTATTACACCAGTCACATTCACTTGCCAGGACATTGCCTTGTACACATTGTAGGCTGGGTTAACCAGGTGAATTATAATAAACATCTGCCAATTCTGTTTTTAGTGTTTTATACATGGAATTCCAGTAACACAGATTACCTTATTAATTATAGTCTTGGGCTCAGCCAGTTGTGTGTACCTAAATAATATATAAATATAAATAGTTTGGTTACTATGGTGATACAATTATCATTTAAAACATTGCTAAATACTATACAAAGAGTCAATACTATATGAAGTGTGAGGATTCCAGATTTCTAGATTCTAGAGTGAAATCTTTTAATTTTAATATTTTTGCCTTTCAGATAATGGACTATATGATAGGAGGCGACGTGAAGTCTTTGTTGATTATGTATGGCTTTTTTCCTGAAGAGATGGCATGTTTTTATGCTGCAGAGGTCACCCTGGCCTTAGCTTACTTGCATAAGCTTGGAATTGTTCACAGGTGAGCAAAACAACAATGTGTAGCCTTGAAGACTGTTTGTTTATGCGTTATGCTAATCTCAGGAGTCCAGGACAGGTTCTAAGTGTTAAGTTCTCTTTAGCATCTGTAAGTCATATAATTTTTGTGTGTGTGTTGTCCTTGGCATTTGTAAGTCACATAACTTTTGTCATTTTTAATATTTGTAATCATGTGAGGGGAAGTCAGTAAGTAAGTTACAAATGGTTGTTTAGAAATGTCCCATTGTTTTATCAGTCTTCCTAAACCTGCTGCATAAAACTCCATGCTCTGTTTTATAAACCACATTCAACTTCTGCATCATTTGCAAAATATCTCCCACCAAGGTGGGGTTCCAGTGAAGAATTTTTTAAATATTTTTTTTTACCTAGCTATTCACCACACTGACGATTTGTCTTGCGCTGGTTTCGACAGTTGTACCTAGAGCTGACTGTTCATAAAGCATTGACAAACTACTGAACGTAAAATTTGCTTAGAAAAACCACAACAGCCAATAAATGCTGGGGTTGATTCTGCAATGTCCTGTAAAGAATAAGCAACTAACTTTTTTTTATATTCATCGCATTACAGGATAAACATTTGCAAGCATAAACAGGAAGCATTTCCTTTTGAATGTACTTTGCAGGCAGCCCCCCCCCCCCCCCCCCTTCCTTAAAAACCTGCACAACAACACATTGTTCTTTGAGTGTACACTCCGTTAGAACAGTCGCTATTTTGCTTTTGTTTTGTGAATGCGCATGCAACACCTAACGAGCAGAGACATAAATTTCGATGTTGCTGTCACCTAATGACACCTTTAGAAACCACCAACTGCATTTTCCTACCATCCCATAATCATTTGTGACATACTTATTGACTTCCCCTCGCATATATGATTGATTTTTGATTGATTGGCACCTTTCGATCTTTCCAGGTGATAGTGTTATATTGTACTATGAGGAGGCATGGGACTCACAGTCCACGGCTATGGCGAGTATGACTAGCAAACCTGCCCTTCGTTAAGAAAAGTCTTCCACAGTTATAGCATGGGACTTCAGGACCATTGTTGTGAACATTTGTGTTTCATCTGTTTCTTCTCACTCTCAGCTCTCATCCTTTCTGTGACTCAGCCTGGTCCATGGCAATTTGTCCCAATTTTGTTTTCCAACCAGTTTTATATTGATCCTGCTTCATAGAAATAGATATCAGATTATTTCAGTCTTAGAATTGTTGTAATGGAACTGGCAAGTTCAGACGACATCTTTCTAATGTGCAGTACGGTGCCCTTTGAACAACATTGCACTTAACTTCTTGGGATCACCAAGGTGTCCTAGACATAAAGGTTATGGTCATCAAATCAACCACTCCAGTTACACTCCATAAGTTTCTCAAGAACTGCCTTATCCTTCTCATGGGTGCCAATTCACTTGGGAAACTTAACATCCAGCACAGTTTTATCTAATATTTTGTGAGTTATGACCTTTGTCACACGTGGCTTTTTCTAGCCAGTATTTATTTCCAGTGGCCACGCACATTCTACTAGTCAGACGAAAATTGGATTCTTTTTAAAGATATGTGAGTTAAATAATTTTATTTTTATTTTTGTTTGTCATGGTGGCTTTGTATGGAGCCACCATGGTCTAGCGGCTAGACGTGCCTATGGATCTAAAGGTCGTGTGTTCGGGACCTCTAGTGGGCCGGACCTTTTTAAAAAATGACCTTGGCTCCCAGGTAGACCCAGCAAAAGAATCCATTTCATTGCACAGGATTATCCCATATAACTCGTTCTCTCTGGAGAATGGCCAACTACCTGTCCAGTGTTGCACAAAGCATGAACTCTGCAGCTCCAGTTTGATCCCCAGGGATCCTAAAAACTGCAGCTGTGAAACTCTTCTTCAGCAATCTCTGGTCATGTGCTTAATCCACTGTGAGCCATAAACTTGGTTTGTCAGTTCTAGGTGTTTTAGAATTCCCCAAGGCTTAGTTGCCAGGTCTGCTGAATGTAGTCACATGTTGTTTTGCAGCTCGTCCAGGCAAAGACTGTCTTGCAAGATATCGTCTGAGGCCTGTTTAGCACAAAAACATTAACAGAGGGCTGTTTGGCTCATACCTATTTTTCGTGGCTCTCATGAACTGAATGTTAATGTAAACTTGACTGTTGATGTCACTTGCAGAGATCTGAAGCCAGACAACATGCTCATATCACACTCTGGCCATATCAAGCTCACAGATTTTGGTTTGTCCAAGGTCACCATGGATTACCGTATGTATATTTGTGTTACGGCTACATATCATAGTTGTAATTTGTACCTACAAAATGCTAATTTGATATCTTAATGTCATAACACCCTTTCAACTTAAATTTACACATTTCAACAGTTGTCACATTCATTAAACTGCAATTACTGCCTCAATTTACCACTTTTGTGGTACAGGCAGGGGGAGAATCTTTGAGCACATTTTTAGTAGCCACCACAGACGGCAAGTTAAGATTTTATTTTTCACCTGTCCTCCCCCCCCCCCACCCCAAAAAAACCTAACCTTACTGAGGATTTGAACCTAGGTCTCCCGCATGCACCCAGCATTCCATTCTGCTTGCCACTTCTCTGTCTGTCAGAGCTACCATAGCTTATCTCTTTTTTCATCCTCTAAATTTTAGTTACTAAATTTTACATAGTCATTTAATTTTCATTGCATAAGTGTTCTTTTATATTATATACACATAATTGTTTAAAAACTTTTTAATGTTCATTTGTTTGTATGACTGTTCTCATGGCTTTCGACATCGTAACATAAGCTGCACCGTGGAAGAAATTAGCCCCCCACCACATAATATTCTCAGAAACAGCAGTGGGTGAACATGTAAAATTGTAACTTACACTGGGAAGACAACACAACAATGTTTAATGTGTTTTTGCTGGTACTTGAAATGTAATTAAATAATTCAAGCAGGGGCATCTTGAGGAAGGGGTTGGGTGCTATTCTGTATAACTAACCCCTCTACATCATCATCATGTGCCGTACTGGTATGCATAGGCTGTCATGTTCTGCCATCTCATTCACACAAGGACCTATATTAGAAGTAAAAGAACCATTTTGCACCCTTAGCTCATCAGACATGATTCTTGTCCCATGGTTTAATAGATCAATAATTAGTTTATAAGTGATGTGGTCAGCTTCAAGCTGGCCATATTTACACCACTTTTACTTCCAAGTACATTTCCCGGCACTCATTTTATCCTGGATCAATCATAAAAATTCACCTCTGTGAATTTGATTGAACCTGACCCTTGGGTCTGGAAGGCAAGCATGTTTGAATAGATATCATACGCAAAATGTCTGCTAACATCATTTTTACATGCCCACTTTTTTATATATATTTTATTTCAGGTGCAAGCCCCCAACCTGGTAGCTTCACGCCTTTCGACCATCATTATGGAGGCTCTGCTTATCTCAGAACTCCAGGGCAGATTCTCAGTCTGAAGTCATCTTTAGCATTTGTAAGCTATATATCCGTTTAGTCATCTTTTGCATTCGTAAGCCATGCATCTGGTTAGTCATCTTTTACATTCGTAGGTCATAACTGTTTTGTCATCTTTAGCATTTGTAAGCCATATATCCGTTTAGTCATCTTTTGCATTCGTAAGCCATGCATCTGGTTAGTCATCTTTTACATTCGTAGGTCATAACTGTTTTGTCATCTTTAGCATTTGTAAGTCATTTATCCGTTTAGTCATCTTTTGCATTCGTAAGCCATGCATCTGGTTAGTCATCTTTTACATTCGTAGGTCATAACTGTTTTGTCATCTTTAGCATTTGTAAGCCATATATCCGTTTAGTCATCTTTTGCATTCGTAAGCCATGCATCTGGTTAGTCATCTTTTACATTCGTAGGTCATAACTGTTTTGTCATCTTTAGCATTTGTAAGTCATTTATCCGTTTAGTCATCTTTTGCATTCGTAAGCCATGCATCTGGTTAGTCATCTTTTACATTCGTAGGTCATAACTGTTTTGTCATCTTTAGCATTTGTAAGCCATATATCTGTTTAGTCATTTTTTAGAATTCATAGGTCATAACTGTTTTGTCATCTTTAGCATTTGTAAGCCATTTATCTGTTTAGTCATCTTTTGCAATCGTAAGTCATAACTGTTTTGTCTTCTTTGACATTTGTAAGCCATATATCTGTTTAGTCATCTTTTGCAATCGTAAGTCATAACTGTTTTGTCTTCTTTGATATTTGTAAGCCATTTATCTGTTTAGTCATCTTTTGCAATCGTAAGTCATAACTGTTTTGTCTTCTTTGACATTTGTAAGCCATATATCTGTTTAGTCATCTTTTGCAATCGTAAGTCATAACTGTTTTGTCTTCTTTGACATTTGTAAGCCATATATCTGTTTAGTCATCTTTTGCAATCTTAAGTCATAACTGTTTTGTCTTCTTTGGCATTTGTATTCGTAAATCATATAATTGTTTTTGTTATCGCTAGCATTTGTATGTCATATACAGTAAACCCCAGTTAGCATGAACTCCAAGGGATTGAAAAAGAGTTTAGGTTAAATGAAATTTTTGCTAACGGAAAACTCAAATTTCAGTGTTGCAACTGGCGGCCAAGAGGTCAGAATGTTTACCTCATACTTTGTAAGGTGTGTGTTTGGTTTAAGATAAAACCCCAGAATGTTTTTAAAAAAAAACCCAGTAGAAAGCAAAGCTGCCCTGAGCAATGCATGAAACAACTGCTTGTATAAGCTATTTCTCAGCCTTAAAAATAAACAACACTAACAACTGCAGATCCTGAATGAAAACAAATGGATGTTTTATAAAAGAAAACAGTAAATAATTCTGTTTATGCCAGTGGTGCTTCTAACATATATTCTAGGCTTATATTCTTTCAGGCACTCTGTGAGTGATGTGGTCAACATTACTGTGGTCACCTTTGCCTCCCAGGACATTGTCCGGTACCCATTTCAGGCTGGGTCAGCCGCGGAGCCAAACATGTTATTGGGCCTGAGTGAAATTATAGTTCTTTAAACACCATTTTAATATGCTTCTGTTTTCAGACAGTGGATGCTTCACAGCGCAAGAAGCAGCATACCCGCAGTGATGCCCTCCCAGATGTCACAGAAGTCACGCCTACATCTGATCCAAGTCTCTCCCAAATCCCTCCAGAACCTCAAACTCCTTCAGAGAGATCACAAAGGCAGTCATTTGTAAGGCACATCATGCTCACTCCTGCTGACAACAAGCAATTACTTCAGGTACTTTTATGTTTTTTTTTTCTCTATAGTGAATGATTGATCTTTAATAATTTAATTTATATGTGTTATGTTTTATGTTCAAGATATCCACCTTCAACCACATGTAGAATTATCAAAGTTTTCTGGCAAGATACAATCTCAAACACTAAACTACTTCAAGTCACAAACCAAGAAACTCTAGACAGTATGATAACCAAGAGAAGATGGAAACGGCTTATCCACATTTTGAGAATGAATCCTGATATACCTGCCAAAACAGCTCTCACATGGATATCAGAGGGAAAGAGAAAACAGGGGCGCCCAAAAACAACATGGAGACGAGCGAGAGAAAGTGACCTTAGTGCAGCATCTTTGACATGAAAAACTGCACTTGAGATTGCACAGGACAGGAACGTCCTCTCTGAAGCCTCATGTGCCACTAGGCATACAGAAAATTGATTGGAAATTGATGTTGATGTTATATGTTATCGCAATCACTGGAATTCTTAGTTCTGGTTACTGTTGGTTACTGTGTCTCTTGTCTTCACCACAAAAACACTCTGGTGTGCTTCTTTCCAATTTAATTTTATGTCGGCATCTGTGGGAAATGTGGTATGAACACACTCATAATTCCACCATTCTGGATTTGATTCAGCTGCAGGTGATTTGGTAGCAGGCATTTTTAGATTCTTTTTAACATTAATATACAATTTGGTTGTTCTGAGAGTATTGGGAAACTACCAAACATGTGATGGATCGCATCAATCCAGAGGTCGCAGGTGGGGGAGAGTAACACGGATATTTTGCTCTGGCTGTCCAGAACTATGACAGTCATTTAATTCCACATTTTGACACAGAATATACAGGGCATTATTAGCCTGAAGTCGCTGTCTGTGGCTTAGAGATATTGCGAATGAGCTTCATAATACCAAGGTGCCGGGTTCGATCCCATCTACTAGCCTTGCGTTGGTTTCGACAGTGGTATCAACAGCCAAAAAGAAAGCTGGGATTGGTTCTGCAAAGTCCTGTAAAGAATAAACAACTAACTTTAAAAAAAAATTAGTTCATGAGGTAGGAGAGTTGGCAGAGGACCGATTGATCTTTCATGATGAGATGATCATAGCAGTGTTTCTGCAAAGGACCTGCTGCATGTAATGAACTGACTAATGGGAGAAGTCACTATAAAATTACTAGCTGAATGTAATCTTAACCCTCTAGTTTCTTTTTCTGTGTATTTAAGGGTCTGCCTTTATTTCTGTGAACCTGTGGGTTTCAGTGCAAAGATATTCTAGTTTTTTATTGTTCTGTGGTTCTCTAAGGGTTCCTGCATATGTGTGTCTGCGTGTGTGACTGTGTGTATGTGTGAGTGTTGCCTATGTCTATGTGTGTGTCTCTTGCCTGTGTGTGTATTTGTTTGTGTGTGGGTTTATGTGTGTGTGCGTCGGTGTGTGTGTTTGTATGTGTCTTTTTATGCGGCTACGTGTGTGTATGTGTGTATAGCTGTGTGTGTGTCTGTACCTAGGTTGTATGCGTGTGTGTTTTAGAGTATGTGTCTGTGTGGGTGACTGTGTGTAGGAGTGTATGTATATGTGCGTGTGTATGTATGCATGTACGTATGTGGGTGTGCATGTTCGTATGTATGCGGATGTGTGTGTGTATTGGGTGCCTATGTGTGTGTGTAAGTGAGTGAATGGGATTGCGTGGGTGTCTGTGTTCACCACCCATGCTTTTGTTTTTGACTTGATATTCATAATATGCTTATTACTACATGAACATAACATGCTTTATTGATGAAATACAACTGCTGTGTGAAAGATGGAAGTTTGGAAGGGCCGAATGTAAGACAGGCCTGCGTGCCTAACTTGTGACCTTTTGAAAATAAAGTTTGTTTGTTTGTTCTATTCCAGTAAGAGAAACTTTTCTTCACTTTTATTGATTCACTGGAGTTTATAATTTCATTTGTCTCTTGTTAATTTCCTTCAATTGTTTTTGTGTGTGTGCATTTTCAGTTTCTCCAGAATCTTTTCATTTAGTTTAAAAAAAAAATAGTTTATGTTAAACAGCATACTCTCTTGTGCGTATCTGCATCTCCAGTTGTCTTATTTTTAACTTTCTAATTACTTCTTTTTTTGTCTGTTATTGTCTTTACCAAATAGCAGGACATACTTATTGATAATTCTAATTTTTAGTGTGTTTATCTTACTAGGAGACTAACTTAAACCTAACACTGATGATATCTTCACAGACACGTCGGCTACACAGTACTGTCCTGTCCACACCACCAGTCCAGAGCCTGACTCCAACTTTGCAGGATTCTCTTAACTGGAGACATTCTTCAGCTAGTGATTCTCAGTCGAGGAAGGCATGCAGCATACTGCAGTCAGCTCTCTTGTCTAGTAAGCTTTTATATTTAAACATATTGTAGCGTCTTATGAAGGGCTAGCTTTTTCATTGTTTCATCTTCATTCCACCAGTTGTACCGTCAAACTTATTGGAGGTACTTTCTTATTAGCCGACTACAAACAGGGGAAATCCACAGGTCACGGCACAGTCAATTTTTAAGGGGGTGGTAGATTAAGCACATGGTTTTGGTTAGGGTTAGGTAAACGCGTGAAAATCTTGGCCTTGGAAGAAATGTACTAAAGCACAGAAAATCCTGAAAACCTGCTGTTACCACCCTCTAAAATATTGGATTTTCCTGTGACGTCATTTATGGTTGGCTAAAAAAAAAAGCACTCTTGTCTAGTGAGCTTTTATAATTAAACATATCGTAGCGTCTTATGAAGAGCTAGCTTTTTAATTTTTGCATCTTCATTCCACCAACTGTATGGTTAAACTTTTTACCTTAACCATTCTGATTTGCTGATTAGTACAGTCCTTGTGTCTAACATTGTTTAGATTGGGGATTTTACGTTAAGAAATATGGCTACATGTAATCTTTTCTTTCTTTTGACCATATTCTTTTGTGTCACCAATTGTCAAGAAATTAATCCAGTGAACTGTGACTAAAAAGCTTAACAAAATGGGGAAGCAGAGCACCGTGCACAAAACAGCACACCACAAATTGTTTCGTCTCTGAGGCCTTTCTTGACATGAACTGAACTACATACAACACAGTAACAATGAAACTAAGTGTTGCAGGTTAACAGATCAGTATTTGAGCTAAGGCACGCATGATTACCCTGTATGATATAATGTTGTTGAGTCTCAAGGTATCATTGACTTCTTCAGTCCATCTTTCTTGGTTGTCTCCTACCTCTTACTGTTTCTACTTTCATGTTCTGTGCTCTCATTGCAGGCATCATGTAATTCACTCTTGTTAAATGGCCAAACCATTTCAGTCTTTGTTTTTTCAATGTATATAATCATAGGTGTTCCAATAGTTTTTGTAACTTCTTTATTTCTTAGTGGTCTCTTATAATTTCATTCACGGCCTTTCTCAAACATCTTGTGGTAGTTAATTTTTTTTTCATGTTCTTTAGTCAGTGTCCAAGTCCGACACTAATAGCACAAAGTTGATATGAATACTGCATGTATAATTTGTCTCGATTGGGATAGTCGGGTGTTTCAAAAATGGCGTCAGCTGATATCTGTTTAATCACATGTCAATATTAGTAGGTTGATGTGAAAATAATTGTTATGAGAAGATGGAAGTTGGACCACCAGAAAGATCTTTTGAAAGAGAGACAGCGTGAGAAGATTCTTGATCACATTTTTTTCCTGGCATGGAGGTGTGTCAACACACGAACTGAAAAATGCAGTTAAAGATTGCAGATTGTGGAGAGGTATGATTGCCCACACCAGTCGGCAAGCCACTTGATGGTTATGAAATAAGACCATTCAAAAGGCAATTATTCAGACTAACAATATACAACACTATAAAATTTGCCACAAACTTCTTGCAGTTCACTTCCCAGCACGACTGACTGACTGACTTTCTACCCCACCAGGACATCACACACGCGATAAACACCCGATGACACAATGTGCCACCATGTGGGTGAGGATCACCGTGGAGAGGTCCCAGAAACCGCGTTCAGCCTTTAGGCCATATTTATGGCCAGGCTATATTGCATCCCCTGGCAAGAGCCAGAGTAGGGCTTCAAATAACGAAAAATTCCATCCTAAAAAGGACGGGAAGTCTTTCTTTCCAGCATAATTGGCATCACTTTATATGGTCACTCATTACTTTTCAATTCATGCACACTTAAATGTGCAGCTGTATTTCTGATTCACTTTGTATGTGTCTCAGTGCGCATTTAATTTAGTTTAAATATTTGATGTTGTCACCACTGAACAGGCTTATAAACATAGATTATCCTGTCCCAAAAGCTCAGGTACTTTAGCCATGTTCTTCTTTGCGTTTACTGGATGTAGACTCCAGCAGAAAGTTTTGGTTGTTCACCCACCTCTGGACTTTAGTCTTGTTTCAGAACCTTAGTGTTGCATGCACATTCATTTTACAAATCTGACTTATCTGTATGCAGATTGTTGGTTCCTTGCCTTTTAAGCAGATACACTCAGAGTTCGAAGGAAGCCCCAGAATCAGCTCTGCTGGGGAAGCAGGGAGTCTGTTCTTGTTTTCCCCTGAAACCGACACAGGGAGATTGGCCAGGTTAAACGTGGTGGCTCTGAAAGAGCGGTGATGGAGGGTACAGTGTCTTGAAAACAGAGATAGAGACCGACCTTTGTTGAGATGTATACGAGACATTGAAGATGCGTTGACTATGAAAGCACTTTCAGGTGGGCCATTACAAGATATTCTGTTAAGGACCTGTTGAATGATGATGATGTCAAAATCTAGACAAAGAAAGATAATCATGGAGATGAAAGCGGGATTATGATACCATATTTATGAGTGCATAGGCCGTACATGGCACCCAATTTCTAAGACGATAATTTGGGAGAAATATTATTTTCTTAGAATCTTGTCAAGGGACTAAAACCAAATCAGTGCCTGTAAGCAGTGAAAGTTGAGCCGCCTAAGAGCAAATTACAGCTGAGTTGTAAATGAAACTTGCAAGCAGTGCAATATGTGCAAGAAAATGGGAGCCGGGCAGCAGGGGGAAGTTCAGTGTTGATGAGAAAAATGTGTGAAGATGGATTGGAATGAAAGATGCTTTTGAAACAAAAAACATTCCAAAGACTACAATCTTTTCGGGCAAGAACTTGACATACCCAGAAGTAGAGAACAGTCTGCTGGAATATTTCAAGAAAAATGGACAGATGGATTTCCTGGTTCTGTGAAAATGTTACATTTAAAACACGTCAATTCTAAGACATTATAAGAATTCCTCAAAGGGAATTTAAAGCCAGTTATTGCTGGGCAAGGCTCTTCATGGTACAAAATGACCTCGTGATTCGATGGCGAACAACAATGGCACAGCAACTTCCCAGGAGAAGTTGTTTGCCTTTCAAAGGTTAAAGGTTAAAAAAGGTTAAAGTCGAGAGGATCGACCATTGCACCGGGTTTTATCTCATGTGGCTCAGTCTCCCTCTGCAGACAGCTAGCCGCCTGCCAAGAGTATCCCACAAAGCATGAACTCCATAGCTCTAGGGACGATCCCCAGGGATCGCCATTAAAAACTGCACCCTTGAACTGAACGTCACAGCGGTAAAACGAACCTATGACCTACAGAACGCAAGGCAAACGACTTGACCACTTCGCTGTGGAGACCCCTATGGTCTAAAGTTACAGAAGACGCACAGCTACGGCACAGGGGAAATTAGAAATGCAGGTGAAACTCCAGTTTATTATCAAATGTTGTACAAGTGACAAGAAGGCCTAATGTCTCAAATGTGTAAGCGGCACACTATCTGCCATAAATGATTTTCAGTTAAAATACTGCGACTTACACACTCATAAATATGGTATCTGCAGCAATGAAACACAAGGGGTTACATGCTGAAGAAAAATAAGAAGAATTGGATGTTGAGGATTAAATCTGTTGTATAGTTATAATGTAAATATAATAGAGCTGTCACACACATTTTCATGAGTGCCAATTGTGTCTCTATCAACAGGAGCCAGAAAGATGGATGACCTGTCAGTCCTGTCTGACAGTGCCTGTTTGGAGGGGCACCTGCCAAAACCACAAGTGACTTCTGGCTCCGCAATGGACATGTCTCATAACAACAGTAAATGTAACTCTGTTGCCAGCATGGCATGGGAATCTGTGTTTAGTGACTGCGGAGACACTGATAACAAGTTATGTGTTAGTGAAGAATGTAATAACAATTGTCAGGCCAAAAAACCACATGGTTCACTAAAGTGTGACAGTCACACAATGCCAATGTTTCGTTTGAAGGAGGAAGATGAAACACCCATGTTGCACCGTACCGATAATTCTGTCATGAGCAGCTATGCAGCTCAACATCTTCGATCCATGAGGGAAGGCTCTTATTCTGAAAAGCTCAATAGTAGTTTCTGTACCTCTAAAGAAGTAAACAGTAAAGTTGATGATGAGCGTGAGCTGGGTTTTCAGAGATGTAGATATGCACAAGGCACAGATAAGTTAGCATGCAAGATGTTGTATGGGGAACCAACAGTGGCCAACCCTGAGTCGGTGCTTACACAGTGCCTAAAGCAAGAATCGACTGACTCTTTCAGCGTGAACACTGCAAATTCCACTGAGAAAGTGTGCAGCACACATGCATTGATTCGGCGTGACTCAAATGCATTTTCGAATACATCAGTAGAAGTGGCCAGAAGTGTGGTGACTACCCTTGATGAATCACTGGGGATGATCCACAGTTACAGTAAGTCAAGGCTTTTGTCTGTAGCCTGCTCCGCAGATCTGGAAGTTTCCAGTGATTTCTCAGCGCACTTCCAGCAGCAGGATGATAAGGTTTTGAACAGCACTCGTCTGTCTTTGGACTTTGGTCTTACTCACATGAGCCTGGACACAGGTCCAGAGCTGAAGGACTTGAGCCAGTTGTTTGGACTGAGCCGTATGATTTTGAAAGCTATACCACCTGAGGACAACACAAACGTGCATGTGCCAAGTTTTAACGTTGTTCCTAGCAAGAAGTCTGAGAGGTTGGTAAGAGAACAAAATGACCTTCCACCCGGAAGTGGGCCATCTTTGAGGAAGTTAAGCAAACCTGGATTGAGGCGAGTTCTTTCAGACACATTCGACAGATGTCTTCCATCACGCTTAGATGCTTGTTCAAATGCCAGCAAGAGTGTGTTCAAAAACAAAAGTAAATCTCTGGATTATAGTCTTGACCCTCATGCGGGTGATAGCCAGTCTAAATCGCCCAGAAACCAGGATAAACATCCCCGAAAGAGACAGTTTCAAAATATCGTTGATGAAAACTTGGATACTAGTTTAGAGAAGGTTGCAGTTGAATGCCCCGTACATACTGGTATGACCCCTGATCTTTGTAGAATGAGGCTGCAGGAATGTGGAGCTGAGAGACCCAGGAAACAGATTTGTTTTGACAAAAATATGTATATTCACAGCCTCATTGATCCAGACAGTCTTGGTAATAAATGTGATCTCAGTTCACCCAGTAAACTGAGAGCATTGCCAGAAAAGTTTGAATATAAGCTAGCAAAGCATGAAGAAATAATCTTGCCAGTTTGTTCATCACTGGGTCAAAGATCAAACTTCCCGGCAAGTCCTTGTAGAAAAATCAGCATAAGCAATCCGCCATGTCATCCAAAGGTTGCATTACTGAGGGAGTGTAAGTCGTATTTGACCTGTACAGGACACACAGGTTTGACTGAAGAAGTTAATGTATTAATTTTAAAAGACATTCTTGCCGATGTTCGGGCCGCCTCAAAACCTTCACAAATGACGCATGTAAAAGGTGAGATAAAGTTCACAGAGCATCCACCAGTTAGAAGCAGTAACGGAGCACCCAGAATTATATCAACTGAAAGCGAATCTTATTCTGATAGAGAGGATTTTATTGGCTCAAACGACATCCAGCCATCAAGCCTTCCAATTCACAGAGTACCAGCAACAGGGAATCTCTCTTCCCTCTGTGGCAGTCCCCTCTGGAACAATACAGATGATGATCCTGGAGCTCTATCCGGAGATAGTGGTATCAAATTCTTCATTTCTACCCCATCTCCTGGTTCCACCAGGCATTCATCGCCGGCTGCTGGAAATATTAATCACCCACCACTGATAATGAAGAAAGGTGTTTCCACAATGGATTCATCAATTGGCACCGACTGCAGCTTTTTGAATGTCACCATAGAATATGAAGCAGATGGCAAGTCAAGTCCACGATGTACCTCCGCTGAGAGATTTCCAGGCAGTCCCATTCGGCATGTGGCATCTGACACCGGCATGCTTGGGTTGAGGATCCAGCGCTTAAGCGTAGACTCGGATTCCTCTCTGTCAGATCATCATGGTTATATGTCACAGCCGCTGCCGTCACCAGTGTCTGCACCAGAAGAGCAATGGAAATCTGATGGTCAGGAGCTGGATCATCTACATCAGCAAAAAGATAGAACTAGCAAGAGTGGAAGTACTGAGAGCATTCTTGGGGAAGGGCAGCAAAAGTTGCCTGCCTCTATACATAAATTGCCCACGATTGCTGAAAAAGTTTGCTATCATGTGGAGGAAGATGGTGCCGCAATTTTTATCAAGCCCCAGAACTATGTAGATTATGTAAGTAAAATTTGTTTAGAATTTCATTTATTCACAGTAAATCAGTGTTTGACTTCTGATATTGATTTTCAGCTGCTTTGTTTGCAAAGTAAAATTACATGGCTAGTGTCATGAGTCCTTACCAAGCCCTCATTTGGACACCACAGGGAAAAAGATCTCGTGGAAGACCAAGGGAAACCCTACGTAGAACTATCATCAGGGAAGGCTCACTCATGGGCCACTCAAACATCCAAGACCTACAACAGATTGCAACGAACCGCCATGCATGGAGAGTCATGACCTCTGCCCTATGTGCCGCACTCGACACAAGAGGAAAGTCTAACTAACTAAGTGTCATGAGTCAATTTTACCACACACTGTGAGAGAAAGACAAACAACGACTAGACTGACTCATAACAGCAGACAGGTCAATTACTGGTCAGACGGGTTGTGTCTAGACCCACAGGGCTATACGGGTAACTGAGTGGGGAGGTTACAAGGGGACTTGACAAACGGTTAGAGCGATACATAGCAGTTTGTAGTTTGACAGTCCAGTGAACGGATGTTTCTGTTTGGTGCCCTTAAAATGTGGGAATTGTTTTTCGCTTGGCATGGACTGGATTTAAAACATCTGAATGGAGAGGAGAGTAGTAATTATTCATACTTGTGACAAGTGTTTCTTTTGTGTTGCCGTTAGTTGTGGTAGCCAGGATGATAAGTAATTATTGCTCCAGATGCATCCTCTAGCCTCTCATGACTTTGTTCATATTGCTAGGATGATTTGTGATCAGCTTTACCAGCGTACTGTTGATGTACTAAACCAGTGACTACCTGGCATTGGTGTGCTTGTGAGCTATAAGAATAAATGGGTGGCTACTCAGTAGTCAATAGCGTTGCGTGGAAGCCAGACTAACTTTGAAATTATCATGAGTATTTAAATAAACATTCTCTGAGAACTGGAACACGGTAATCAGTGTTTACATGTTAACGAAAGTGTGGGTACACTGACACACACAAAACAATGGTGCCTGTGTCACACCTATAAAAAGGTGTCTGACAGCTAGTAAGCCAATAATTATGTAGTGGTAATGTCTTTCGATTTCAGGTAGTAATCAGTATATTTTTAATTCTTTTTCTCCTCATCCTCCTCCTTCTCTAGTCTTGTTCTGCCTTTCAGTATCAGCTGTTGAAGAGGCATCAGGTGAGAGCATTGGTAGATGCCATATAGAGGTCTATATTTAGGCCTCAGCTATTCCATCTATCCATCGATTGCGTGGTCTGAGTGGCGGGGCTTTCTGTAGTGCACCGTCTTGACACATGTCTAAACCATTTGATTTGTTGTCCCTTGATGTAGTTTAGTACTGATTCCGTCTCAACTTCTTTAAATTCTAAACTCTGTCCACTTGCCCTTTGGGAGTACTGTTTGAGGTTTGAACAGCGAATCAACATCATGGCACACGGGTAGTAACCCATAAGTGCTTCATTCTTCTAACTCAAGACTGTGTCTGAAGAAGCTCAGCACAGTGCACAAGCTCTGAAGCACCGGCGAGGATCCTGCAATACTTTGGGTAGATTTTTAACTCAAAATTTTGTCAGGGCAGTGCCGTTAGGCTTGGGAGTACAGTAACAGTGAGGAGTGAATTATCACTGCCTTGAGAGAATAATGCAATGCATAGTTAACTTGGGAATCTAGACTCAGCATTCAAAGGCAGGACAAAAGAGGCATTTTATTTAAACTGCAGCAGGTGCTATTGGTATTGAAATTATAATGGCTACTGAAGAGGGAGCAGAGCCTTTACAGAAGTGGGGTAATGTTGGTTTTTAACTGAACAGCTCGACTCTACACTTTAGATTACCAAACTTAAAAACCTAATGAATTTAAATAGTAAAATTTGTGTGGGGGGGGGGGGGAAGAGTTATGATAACTGAGGCAGATCGGAAAGAATGAGTGAAGTGGCTTGCTGGCAAGGCCACAGCAGGTAAAGGAAAAGCAATGTACCGGGCCAATATTCTCAGCGCTCTCAAGGAGGCAGGACGAGAAGATGATTAAGGGATTGACATTGAATCGACACTTGATTCAGGGGTCGATGTTAAATCACCAATGATTCACGGGACGACGTTGAATCGGCAACACTCAAAAGACTACAAGAACTTCCGGTCATAAGGGGTATTGACAAACATGAACATTAACTATTTAGGGAGCCAAAGAAGAAATGTAATCCAACACAGAAGTGATGTTATCAGTCGCCGCAAGCTGAGGGATATACTGAAGGTGGGATCCGAGTATTTATTGACTTGTCCGATGTGCAGTGAGGATAGTCTAACCAACAAACAAGGCAGATTGGTTAATGTTAAAGAAGATGAAAGCAGAATGCAAGAGCAAAGGCTTGTGAATTACGAGGTGCTGATATTGTTTATGCTCCTAAGCTATTACACAGGCGACAGACAGTATAACAAGAAAGCCTACACATTTTGGTTTCCCTCCAGGTATGTATGAGGCAGATGAATTAAACATGTCAGAATTTATTTGTTGGAAAAATATATTTTCACAAATGTTAATCAGTGTTAAAAGAAACACTAAGGTTGTTTATGTTAGTGTTATTTATGTTAGTAACTATTTTAACCAAGAATTATATTTTTTCAGCCTGGCCCAGCTCAGACACCAAAACCACCATTGAGAGAGTCAGCATTTCAGACACCCTTCCGAACTCCAGGCCCCCAGCATCAGGCCTCAATTTGCATGCCAGGATCTAAGTTTCAAACACCATTTCGAACCCCTAAGAGTGTCCGCAGAGGGCCTGACATGATGCAGGACGATGGAAGAATTCTGGGAACTCCTGATTATTTGGCACCAGAGATACTCCTGCAAAAACGTCACGGTAAGCTGTTCTACTGAGCAGATAGCTGGTTACTCTTTACATTTTTAAACTAATTGTTATTAGACTGCTAATGTGGCCAACATCACTTTTGCCACTTTTACTTCCCATGACATTTTCTGGTGCCCATTTTCTTCTTTCTGTGTCACATCCCCCATGGAGCTGATATCCACCCACCCCCAAAAGTTTTTAACTTCACTCTTTGGTTCCCTTTTCCATGTTTTTTTTTTTATAATCTTGAGGAAGCAAAGTTGAACCTTTTTAGGTTCTGGGACCCTTTTTTGGGCTCTTGAGGACAATAGATCCGTCCGTCATACAGTCGTAAATCGTTAGACTTAACAGCCCACCTTCTACAGTGCAAAAATAAGCAGCAAACACAGTGTTGGTTTTTTGTTTGTTTTTCTTCTTCAAATTTGGTCTTACTCTGTCGTCTGCTTCTGTGGCTTAAGTATTGCGAGCGCACTTTGTAATACCAGGTTTGATCCCAGCTGTGGATGATTTATCTTGCGTTGGTGTCAACAGAGAGTTGACCGTTCAGAAAGCAGTGGCAAATTACTGAATGTAACATTTGCTTAGAAAATCCACAACGGCTAAAACATTGCTAGGGTTGATTTTGCAATGTCCTATAAAGGATACGCAACTACCTAACTTCCTCTATCTCATTTTGTTTCAGTTTTGGCAATATAAAGTGAATAATTAAAAATTTCAAAAAAAAAAAAAGGGGGGGGGGGGGGTGTTAAATTAGATGTGATTATAAATAATTGGTTATAAATTAAATTGAATTGTTTTATATTTCTTTTAGGATTTGCTGTTGATTGGTGGGCTCTGGGTGTCTGCCTTTATGAGTTCCTGACAGGTCTACCACCATTCAATGATCAAACTCCTGAAGCTGTTTTTGAAAATATTCTTAACAGAAGTAAGTAGTGCAAACCAGATCTTGCGACTTCAGTTTGTAAGCCTGGTCTTGCATCATTATTTTTATATAAGCTGTCTGATGTTGAGTCATAATGTGTTAAGAACCTGAAAGTGAAGTTAGAGAATTGCAATAAAGTTGTGAAAATGCAATGAAAGTTTAAACGGAAATATACAGTGCCGAACCCCCCCCCCCCCCCCCCCCCCCCCCCCCCCACACCCTCACCTCTCCCCAATAAAAGTGATAAATTGGTCAGAGAGCCTAAATCAGCGGCATGGACAGTGGATTAGTTCGACGTTAGTCTCCCCAAATAGAGTATGTCACTTTTCATTGTTGGGCTGGTCGACTTTCCTGAAGGTTACGGGTGTGTCCCACTGTTGTTTCGTTGTAATGTGTTGCATATATGTTTTCATTCCGAGAAAGAATGCCTGTGACATAGTTTGCAGCACTCTCTAGGGAGATTGTGCTAGACCCAGTTTCTCTATGTTTTTGGAGTGTTAAAAGCGCTGGCTTGCTGAAATAGATAACACGCAATATCAACTGCATTGCGGAACACCCCTGTAACCTTGTGCGAAGGCATGTGGTTCAGGAACTACCAATCAGAAGTGAGCTTGTGTATATATGGGCGGGGTCTGAAAAGACTGACGTCGAACTAACCTGGACAGTGAGACAGCTACATACATGAAAAAGTTTAAGGGTAATCCACCCCTGTTTACGATGTTAGACCAGTCAGCAATTTTATAATTTTGCCCAGTCTTCTGGTCTGCCAAATTCTGCAGCATGCCTTGTTCCATACATACTGTATTACCTTTCATTTGGAGTTAATGATTAACAGGCAGAGAGAGGGATCACAGTACATGGACAACACATGGTCTCTCCAGTGCTGCCCAGGCTTTCTGCTGTGGTGAGCAGGAACTTCATACCTGGTCCCAGTATGTGACCTTCTGTATATACAGCACAGTGAAATACTCATCTGGAAAAACTGAAAGATGCCAATTCCTGGTCAGTATATCTGTCATGCTGGAAAACAAAGCTAGCTAATAGCAATCGTCAGCAGTCATACAGAACTTCTTCTTCTTTGTTCACCTGCTGTAAGCTCAGGGGAAAATCCTGGTTATTCCTCCATTTGGACTTTGGCTTTTGCGTGTACATCTGTTTTACTGGCTTATTTGTGTGCAGTTGGTTGTTCCTTGCCACTCGGGCTGATGCACTCCCAAATTAGTTGATCTTACAACATGTGGGGGGAGGGGGGGGGGGGTTGGCAGTAGGTCTATGCTTGTTTTCTCCACAACAGGGCCCTTGAACCCACACAGGGAATGTTAATAACTAATTAACACGCTCTCGTCGCAGATAGACAACAGACAAGAAGTGACCCAGAGAGATAGGACAAGAGACAGGTCGGGAAGTTTTATTTCTTATGACCAGGGGTAATTATGCAGCCTCCCCTTGAGTGAGGGAAATTTAACCTCACTAGGACCGCACACTGAGCGTTTAGCACCCGGATGACGCAAGTGCAAACTGTCACCAGATGGTTGAGGATTCCCCAGGTACAAACCAAGAAATGCCCATGAACCATATAAAGAATCCATGATTTTCAGAGGATGAGACAGATGGCTTGGTTACTTCTTCATGAAAACTTCCAGCATCTCACTAAGTGAAACAGAAAGTATAAAAAAATCAAGAAAATTACCGAGGAAGTGCTTATTGTTTAACAGATCAAATTAACATTTTTCTCTTTATCAGGGAATTTTCTTTTTTCACAGACATCGCCTGGCCGGATGAAGAGGAGGCCCTGAGCGATGAGGCACGGTCAGCAATTGAGGCACTGCTAACTGTTGATGCAGACAGACGGCCTGCTGCAAAAGGTAATACAATTAGGCATTTCTACTTGGTTCAATGAAAAGGGGATAGTATTTGATCCAGTAAGACACATTTTGAGAGTGCTCTTACCCTTGACAATATTAAAAAGAGACTGACCTGAACTGGATTAAACTTGCTTGATTAAACTTGCTTGATTAAACTTGCCTTAAATTTATTAGCTCTCTTCTTCTCCACACTCACACAACCATGCAGATTTTGGCATGGAGTCTTTTTAAGAGGATCAGGCAATCATTTCTACACTCTATGACTTAACAAAAAGCGTTCTTGAATGACTCAAGAAATGACAACTTGGCACTAGGGTATTCCCACACGTGCTGGGTCTCTTTCCTCAGTAGCCAACAAAGAGCTGGTATGTTAATTGTATCAGTTGCAACCTTAATAAAAATCTGCCTATGTTTCCGCTTCAGTTACATTATCTATCATCCAGTTTCGTCCTTTTTAGGACTAAATTTTTTGTCATTTGAAGCCCCACCCTGGCTTTTGCCAGGGGCCGCAATATAGGCAGGCCATACATATGGCCAATTGTTTGAACGCAGTTTCTGGGACCTCTCCATAGCGATCCTCATCCACATGGTGGCACTTTGTGTCATCGGGTGTTTATCGCTTGTGTGATGTCCTGGTGGGGTAGAAAGTCAGTCAGTCAGTCCGCTTCAGTGTCGAAATATTGAAACAAGAACAGGCTTATTGCCTCTCCTACAAGCATGTCATAAGATTCGACTTATTGGGGGCTTGAAAATTAGAGTGCATCTGCCTGACAAGCAAGGAACCGACAGTATAAATACAGAAATGGCAGATCTGTAAAACAGGTGAGCACGTGACACTCAGTTTCTGGAACAAGACTACAGTTCAGAGATGGATGAACAACCAGAACCATCTGTTGGTTACAGCCTGAGAACGCGAAGAAGAAGTGAAGATGTCACATTAAGCAGATCTTTTCCATGCTCAACTAAGATTTTATAGATTTGGCTGTAAATATAGGAAACAAAAATAGACCCAGAGAATATAACATGTGTGTAATGTAAAGTAACAGACTGTTTCATTGTGTCATTATGACTTTAAAACAATGTTAGTTTTTATGTTTTCTATTCTCTTTTATAGAGGTCAAGGCGATGCCTTTCTTTTCCACCACTGATTTTGCCAATTTGCTGAATATGGAGGCTCCATTTATCCCACAACCAGAAGATCACATGGATACAGGATACTTCGAACGTAAGAACTTTCTACTGAACATTCTTGATGTACTTCCTGTTGAGGGATAGATGTGTTCTTTTGGGAGACATCTTAGAGCAGTTAGATGAGCAGAATGATGAAATCTTGGACAAATGAAATGAGTAAAGAAGATGTCCTGAAAGAAAGTGACTCATAAAGAGAACTTACTGCCCACATCAGAAGGGAACAGTCTACATTCATTGGCCGTGTCATGACAAGGAGAAAATTGGAGTGCATCGTAATGATAGGTAAGTTAAGAGGGGATAAGAGGCAGAGGGAGGCAGAGAGAGAAAATGCTGGACAGTCTGACATCATGGCAAAGAGGATCATCGGTGTCAGAGTTGACTGAAAGTACACAAGAATGCAGGTTGTGGATATACATAACTGCCAATGACACACTGCATGAACTATGAAAAAAAAACAATTGTGGCGCTCATCTATACATCAGTGCAACAGCTCTTCTTGATCATATTTTTTGCATTTCTATTGTCTCTTTCCCTGTGTAATTTTCTTGTTTATGTGTGCATGCCTATGTGCTGTTTATCCTTTCTCGGCTGCTACCTGCAAGACAGACTCTCTGAGATGAGACTCTGAATGGCAGACCAGCAGGACCTGAAAGTTTGATACCATAGAGGTATAGTTGGCAAGTCAGACATAGAAAAATTGTGTTGTGAATCTGCTATGTAAAACCAGTTAGTTCCTACAAATTATGTGATTGTATTGTCAGATCAGAGATAACATACGGATAATGTTTTTTACCATTTCAGCAAAGAATGCAGTCAGAAACTTGGTGCTGTCTGCTGTAAACATGTAGCTCGACCTTGGAGCACAGATCATCCATTGCCTATGACTTGGAAAAGTTTGCTGTTTTCTTGCCTTGAACACTGTACAGATAATTGAAAGTGGTGTAGGAAATATACAACACACCACACAAACTTGAGAGATTTTACCCAGACAGCTAACCATGATCATTATTGTTTTTGTATTTTAAGAGTGACTTAATGTTTGGGTAATTTATCTGATATTTCCATGAAACATGACAGATGACAGAAAATGGTGTAGTATACCGCACACTATGTAAACTTGACTTTATCTAGACAGCTAACTATGTTCATTATTGTGCAGGGATTTTAAAAGTCATATAATGTTTTTGTATGTTGTCTAATGAACATTTACTTCATTATAACAATGACATATCATGGACTATTTAAAATACGAGTTATGGTACCATGAACTGCAGTACTAGATTACAGAAAAGATATAAAACTGAACAAAAAGTATATCAGCAAGCTTCACAATATAACAAATACAAACAAAACATAAACGTTGTGGCTATGGAGCCTTTATCAGCACATACACAAATCAAACAATACTACACAAAATCACTTAGCTGGTATCTCGAAGCAGTCGGGTCGATGACTTCTCAGCAGACTGCCGAGGCACATGGGCCAGAGGAATAAATACCCCCTGTGGAGTACCAGGGGTCAAAACTAGGGGGTTGGAGATAAAACTGTGGGCAGTTAAATCCCCTAGGAGTTTAAATGAAACTGCGTTGGCAATTCAGGAGGATTGACTAGAATATTGACTTTTATTTTTAGTATCAGAGAACAACTCACAATTATGTTTATTGATTATTCTATATATTGCTTAACTTCTCCTTTCCCAATTGTTAGAATAATTTTCTGTTTATATTAACACATTAAGACTCCAAAGTTACTCTTTAAAAAAAATGTTACAAAGTCCTGTAAAAAAATTTTTCGCACTGAAAGAGTTAAGGATAACACGGTTGCAAACTACACAACCTTAGTACAGTATTGTCTTTAGTGTATACATATACAGCCTAAGGTAACCTCTACAAACTACACAACCTTAGTACATAATTGTCTTTAGTGTATACGTATACAACCTAAGATAACCTCTCCAAACTACACAACCTTAGTAGGGTATTGTCTTTAATGTATATGTATACAACCTAAGATAACCTTTCCAAACTACACAACCTTAGTATGGTATTGTCTTTAGTGTTTATGTTATACAACCTAAGGTAACCTCTCCAAATTACACAACCTTGGTACGGTATTGTCTCTAGTGTATACATATACAACCTAAGGTAACCTCTCCAAACTACACAGCGTTAGTACAGTATTGTCTCTAGTGCATACGTATACAACCTAAGGTAACCTCTCCAGACTACACAACCTTAGTACTGTATTGTCTCTAGTGTATATGTATACAACCTAAGGTAACCTCTACAAACTACACAGCCTTAGTACGGTATTGTCTCTAGTGCATACATATACAACCTTAGATAACCTCTCCAAACTAAAGGTCCTTCTCCCTGTTAAATAAAACCATTGTTAAAATATTGGCTGCAGCCCAAGAAGTCCAAGATCTTTTCATTCAGGTTATGAAACCTTATAAAAAATATATCATCAGCCTGTAAATTCTATCTGTGCAACCTGTAACATTTTAGAATATTTTTGTTGAGTGTAATAACTCTTTCAATGGCAAGCAGCTTGGTGTTTCTTATTCCTTGCTTCTTCTATCACAGAATTGTTACCCTTTGTATCGAAATTGTTAGTGTAACTACTTCTGATCTGTAGTGTTTCTGTTGAGAACTTCTTAAGACCTACATTTTAATTATTTTTAAGTCCAACCCCTTGCAAGAGAAGATGGTTAAAATTAAGTGTACTTTGGAGTCAAACTCATTAAGATATTTCTATTCATCCTTCAAAACTAATAGTCTATGAAAGTTAAGATTCTTCTTTGTAGCCCAATAAGACTTGTCTATCACACCTAGAAAACCTACACAAAGACTTAACACCCAACTTTTAGCCAGTTAAGTTTGGAATACTGTGGATTCAGAAAATTGCGAGTAGCCTATTGCCACAGAATCAGTAGTGCCTTATGCAATGTATCTTGTGCAACTGCTGATTTGTTGTAACTACTGCTTCCACTGATAATACATTGTAATTTAGTTGCAGAATGTGGTTGTATTGGTGCTTCTGATGGTTGCCTTATGCATTTTATGCGTGTGTATGCTGTTGGCTTTGCAGAGAATGCAGACTGTTTAAATTGTTCTGCAAGGGACAGCGATAGTTTGGGTACACCTGTGTTTAACCACATTACCTTCCTTAGGTTGTTGTACATATTTTATTGTTATTGCCAACACTTATATGTGTGAACTAGTGTGCCTTTAATTGTACTTAAGTGCCTTTAATTTTTTTGCCAGCATGGACAAAAATGTTTTTACAATTCTTGCCCAAGAAAATATGAATGTATTGTAATGAATCACTTTAAACAAATGCCTGTCTTCTCCTAATAATAGTTTTCTTCATTATATAGATAGATGTATTGTAAATGCAGTCACTCAAAACAAAGGGAATCTTCATGTCAAAGTGTACACCTGTCTTTTGTTCTAACTGATGTGGGAGTCTTTTACAGGCTGGGCAATTTGTTAATGAGTGAAATCAGATCCTTGAGGATTTCCACTGAAGCTGCATAATTTGTGTGGCTCTCTTGACAAGTAGGCAGCTACCGCATTTACAGAGACAATGTCAGATGGTCTCAAACTGATGAAATGGATTCTCACAGCTTTAACACCAACATCTATTTGTAGACCAGCTGTCAGAGCATTCACATTGTGATGCTGGATCAAATGTGCCTTTGTATTTCATGTCCTCAATCAGTAGATTGGTGAATCATGTATGCACTCTCTTGTAATTTTGTTGTCACTACCAGGACATACATCAAATGGGTTGCTAGAACAAATGTGTTTTTTATATGTCATATCAGGCAGTCATTAATGGGCATGCAATAAATGCTGCACCTTTCTGCTGCACTTGGTGTTTTATGTGCCTGACAGGACGTTCATAAGACTTTTGTCTAGAATTAAGGCCTTTGTATTTCATGGTAATCGGTATATTAATGTATTATAAATGCAGTATCTGAGAATGTTGTGTATTTATTGAACCTGTTAGGATATACGTAAATGAGTTGCCTTGAACAAATGTGCCTTAGTATTTCATGTTACTATGTTGATGTAAATGCACTGACCCAGAACTTTTGTATTTTTATGGCATCTATCAGGACATACATGTAGTGAATCGCCTAGAACAAATATGCCTTTGTGTTTCATGCCAGTCGATACATAAGCAAGTAACCATGAGTCCCTAAGACCAAGGTTTTGGCCCCAGCATCTGTTATGACTCTGAATCCAGTGCGGGATTGGCAGCCTCTGCTACAAAGTCCACGTAAAAAAAAACGTTGACATGCTATAGCTCTGAGGCTGGTTTTTCTCGCGAGAATGCTCAGAACTTAAGATTGGGGGGGCACTTATTAGGTTCCTAGAGTAATGTTCTGGAACCTTTTCACACCCGCAGCCTGCTACCCACCAAAACAGTGGAAATTGTTTAACACCCCACCTGACAGACAGCCAAACACTCCTCCCCCCCCCCCCCCCCCCCCCTCCCCCATGTAGGTAGCAGTTTGCTTAATCCTGTGTTGCAAAATTACAGTTTTCAGCTAGTGCGTCATCTGCTGATTAGAGGTAATATGTGCCAATGGTCTGTAAAAAATATGGGCGCTCTTGCTACGCCTAAAAGCATGAAAAGGGATCTTTACTTACTTTACTATCTAGCTTTACAACTAACAAATGATGTATCCATTTTTCCAGTCTGCAGTTTAAGTAAATATAAATCTCTACAGCCAATAAAACCTAAGGACAAACCCCCCCAGCCTTTCTCCATTAAATTATGGCAATAAGGGTATATGGACAAATTAATTTGCTAAAATTATATAATTATTACCTTTTTTATTTTACATTACCTGTACCTTTGTATATTCCAGTGCGCCCCCCCCCCCCCCCCCCCCCACACACACACACAGACACGCACAGATATATATATATATATATATATATATATATATATATATATATATATATATATATATATATATATATATATATATATATATATATATATATATATATATATATATATATATATATATATATATATATATATATATATATATATATATATATATATATATATATATATATATATATATATATATATATATATATATAAAGGCTACAGTAACATTCATTAAATTTTTTTCCGTTTGGTTTTTATTTATTATTTTGCCTGAGAAAGTCTTTTTACACAAATAGAAAGTCTTTAAGGTGTTAATCCTGCAAGAGAAAAACCACTGAGCCCACCTACCTTGTTAAATGATGAAGCAGGATTTTTGTCTGCCTGCCTTGACTTTTTCCACAGCCCACCAGTAGGCCACGGCCCATGAGTTGAAGAACACTGTCCTGGAGCAAATGACTTTTGTTGTTCATATCATATAATGGAAGTATTGTAAAAGCATTCATAGTTCAGCCTTTGTATTTCTCTTCTTATGTGTGAATGGCTATTTCGACAGGCTATTGACTTCATCCAAAAGGAAGTTGTTATATGTAGTTGTTTGTGTAGTTGTATCATTGTCCATGTTTGTTTTACTCCGTTCATTTAGTCATTTGTGACTATTTGGGGGGGGGGGGGGGGGGAGTTGACTAGGTCTGCTGTGCTTTTAGACTGATTTATCCAGAACACAATAGCTGTTAGAACATTAACTCTTTCTGTCCCATAAGGTTTTGTACAAAAATCACTATCATTTTCATTAATATTGCCACACAAAATCCAGCCGCTTTTATACTGTACGGATGCAAAATGAATGAAAGATACCTCTGTGGTTGCCAGATTTTTTTTAGAACACACTGACCGAAAGTTAAATATAGAAATAACTTGATATGATGTTTATGAA